TGAGCCACACCGGCCGGGCTCTTTATATCTTTTAAATGAACAGCTATTCTTAATTTTATAGTTAAACTTATCAGTCTTATCCTTTATGGTTTTGTACTTTTTTGTAACTTAAGAAATCTATCCTTCTCCCAAAGCCAAAGAGATATTTTACTGTTTGCTTCTAACATTTTTCAAGTTTTGTCTTCCACATTTAAGTCTTTGATCCCTTGAAACTGATCTGCATGGATTGAGATAGGGCTCTATTAATTTTTTCTTATTGGATAGTAATGTATTAAAATGTTCATCTTTATCCAATTGATATGCAGTACAGCTTTGACAAGTAGCAGGTTTCTTATATGTGATGCTCTGTTACTGAGCTTTCTGTTCTGTTCATTAGGCTAGCCCTCAGTCCAAATAATACTTTCTTCATTATTATAAGTGTATGATGAATCTTGACAATTAGAAGGACAAGTTCCCCCAAGCTTGCATCTTCAAAAGTGATTTGGCTAATTAATCTTGGCTCTTGGCTCCTCCATACAAATTTTAGAGTCAACTTTTCTAGTTCCATGTTGAGATTTTAAATGAAATTATATGAACTCTAGATTAATTTGAGGGAAAATTGACATTCTTATGAATTGAGTCTTTTCTATCCAAGAACATAATTATGTCTCCCCATTTTTTTAGGTCTTATTTAGTGTCTTTCAATTTTTTAAAGCTTTGTTAAATTAGTATTTTAATTTTGGAGGGATGTAAGTTTTTTGTTATTGCATTTTCTATTGTTGATGAAATGTTCTTGACCTTAATCTCATATCTGAAAACCTTGCTATATTCTTATTTTTATCCATAAATAAGGAATTATACCACTGAATATGGTGTAAGTTTGTTATAGATATCTTATTCTGGTTAAGAAAATTGTTGAGCTCAGCAAGTGTGGCTCAGTGGTTGAGTGTTGACCCATGCACCAAGAGGTCGCCAGTTCGATTCCCAGTCAGGGCACATGCCCAGGTTGTGGGCCCGATCCCCAATGGGGGGCATGCAGGAGGCAGCCAATGTTCTCTATCATTGATGTTTCTCTCTCTCTCTCTCTCTCTCCCTCTCCCTTCCTCTCTATCTAAAATCAATAAAGAAAAAAAAAATTTTTTAAAGAAAATTGTGAATTTAAGAGAGTTTTCTACTGTATCTATTTAGATAATGGTTTCTCTTTTTAAATCTAGTAATGTGGTAAATTATATTAATAGAGTTTTCTCCTTTATTGTCTTCTTTTTGGATTAATCACGTATTTCCATTTTTCTCATGTTATCTTACTATTTTTTTAAGTAATTTTTTATTACAGATGTCCCTTTTTCCCCCATTGACACCCCCACACACACACACTTTCACTGCATTGTTGTCTGTGTCCATTGGTTATGCATATATTGGTTTATCTCTTCCTGCTGCCCCCTCCTTCCCTCGGAAGTTTGTCAGTCTGTGCCCTACTTCCATGTCTCTGGATCTGTTTTGTTCATCAGCTTATTTTGTACATTATATTCCACAAATAAGTGAGATCATGTGATACTTGTCTTTCTTTGATTGGCTTATTTCACTTAGCATAATATTCTCCAGGTCATTCCATGTCATCTCAAAGGATGAAATCTTTCTTAACAGCTGCATCGTATTCCATTGTGTACATGTACCATAACTTTTTCATCCATTTATCTACTGGTGGGCACTTGGGCTGATCTTAGCTATTGTAAATAGAGCTACTATGAACATGGGGGTGCATATAATCTTTCTGATTGGTGTTTCAGGCTTCTTAGAATATATTCCTAGAAGTGGAATCACTGAGAATTTTTAATTTTTTAAGGAAACTCCATATTGTTTTCCATAGTGGCTGCAATGGTCTGCATTCCCACCAGCAGTGTACTGGAGTCCCCTTTTTTCCACTTCCTTGCCAGCACTTGTTTGATGATTTGTTGATGGCAACCATTCTGGCAGGTGTGAGGTGATACCTCATAGTCATTTTAATTTGCATCTCACTAATGGTTGAGCATTTTTTCATATGTCTCTTGGCCATTTGTATGTACTGTTCGGAGAAGTGTCTGTTCAGGTCCTCTGCCCATTTTTAAATTGGAATGTTTGTCTTCCTTTTGTTAAGTTGTATGAGTACTGTATGTATTTTAGAAATTAACCCCTTATCTGATGTATCATTGGCAAATATGTTCTCCCATACAGTCGGTTCCCTTTTCATTTTGATGTTTGTTTCTTTTACTGTGCAGAAGCTGTTTAGTTTGATGTAGTCCCATTTATTAACTTTTTCCTTTGTTTCTCTTGCCCTAGGCAATGTAATGGTGAAAACTCTTATTATTCTTTTAGTAGTTAATCTAAAGATTTCAACCCAAATCCTTGACTTTGTAAAGACTAGCTTTGGCTGGCATGGCTCAGTTAGTTAGAGCATCATTCTGTACACTGAAAGGTCTCAGGTTTGATCCCCGATCGGGGTGCCTATGGAGACAACTGATTGATGTTTCTCCGTCTCACTTTCTCTCTCTCTCTCTGAAATCAATAAAAACGTATTCTCAGGTGAGGATTGGGGAAAAAAAAGACTTAATTAGTACCTTTACCACTTCACAGATGATGCCAAGGACCTGAGAACACTTTTATGCCCCTCCTGACTGTGTATTGTGAAATATTTTAGTTATTTTTTTTTGTTGTTCAGGTAGAGTGGGAGGGAGAGAGAGGAACAGAGAGAGAGAGAGAAACATCGATGTGAAAGGAACATATCGAGTGGCTGCAACCGAGGTACACGCCCTTAGCGGGAACCGAACCTGGGTCTCTCAGGACCGCAGGCCGACGCTCTAACCGCTGAGCCAAACCGGCCAGGGCTGAAATATTTTAGTTCTATATGTATTCCAGTTGCCACAGAGATTTTTGTTTTATACAGTCAGTATTACAATATTTACTTAGCTTTACCCACATACTTACCCTTTCTGTTTGTACTCTGTTTCTTGCTTCTTTAGGCCCTGGCCGGTTTGGCTCAGCAGTTAGAGCATCGGCCTGCGGTCCAGAGAGACCCGGGTTCGGTTCCCACTAAGGGCACTTAACCTCGGTTGCAGTTTGTCCCTGGCCCTGGTTGGTTGTGCGGGTGGCAACCACTCGATGTGTCCCTTTCACATCGATGTTTCTCTTTCTCTCTGTTCCTCTCTCTGCCTCCCACTCTACCTGAACAAAAAATGGAAAAATGTCTTTGGGACGATAAAAAAAAAGGAAAAAGGAAAAAAAGAACTCCCTTTAGTATTTATTTTAATGCAGTATTTATCTTAAAATGTATCTTTCCCTCTTTTTTTGAATAATATTTTTGCTAAATATGACATTCTAGGTTAGCATTGAACTTTTTTCAACACTATATAAATGTTTTCTACTATGTTCTGGTTTCCAGCCTTTCTATTGAAAAGTCAGCTGTCAATCTTCTTGCTGCTCCTTTGACGAATTTGTTTTTCCCCCTCTGTCTCCTTTTAAGATTTTCTCCTTGAGTTTTATCAGTTTTACTGTGATACTTAGTTATGATTTTCTTTGTATTTTTTCAGCTTGATGTCCACAGGGTTTAAAAACTTCCATCAGTTTCAGAAAAGTCTTGACCCTTTTTTTTTTTTTTAATGTTTTTATTGATTTTTTGGGAGAGAGAGGAAGGGAGAGAGAAAAAAATCAATCAGTTGCCTCTTGCACACCCTGCCTGAGGATCGAGCCTGCAACCCAAGCAAATGCCCTAACCAGGAATGGAACCGGGACCTCTTAGCCCATGGGAGGACGCTCAATCCACTGAGCCACACCAGCCGGGCAAGCCCTGACTTTTATTTCCTCAAATTTCTGTTCCATTTTGCTACTCTCCTTGTGAACTTCAATTACACATTAGACTGCTGTAATAGGTTTCTTTCTTCTCTTTCCTGTATTTTCCTGTGTTTTTCCTCCTCTGAGCCTCATTCTGGATATTTCCTGTAGGATTATTGTATAGTTCAGCTGTGACTAATGTATTAAGCCCATCTATTACTGTCTTAATTTCAGTTACTATATTTTTTAGTTCTAGAATTTACATTTTATTCTTGATAGATTCTGAAATTCTTCATCTTGTCATATATTTTCTTGACCATATTCAGAGTTGTTTTATAGCCCTTGTCAAGTAGCTCTAGTGTCGATAGCCCCTGGAGGTCTTTTTCTTTTCTGTATTTTATCTCTTTTGGTGTGCAGTCATTTTGGTCCTATCTCCTGGTAGGCTTGGTAATTTTTATTCAAAACCAGAATCATCATATGAAAACTACAAAGATAATTTGTGGCTCAGGATGATTTTCTGTTCTTAAAATAAAAAAGAGCCCTGGCCGGGGTGTGGCTCAGCAGTTAGAGCATCGGCCCACGGACCAGAGAGACCCAGGTTCAGTTCTTGCTAAGGGCACGTACCTCGGTTGCAATTTGTCCCCAGCCCTGGTCAGGGTTGTGTGGGTGGCAACCAGTCAATGTCTCTCTTTCACATCGATTTCTCTCTCTCTCTCTCTCTCTCTCTCTCTCTCTCTCTCTTACTCCCTCTCTCCCTCCCTCTCTATCTGCAGATAAATGCAAAAAAAATGTCCTTTAATGAGGATGAAAAAAACAAAATAATGTACTTTTGTTTCTTACAGGCACTTATAGTAGAGCCAGACCAACTCAATCCAATATGGGATTGAACTGATTCAGACTGTTTTTTGTGTGATAGCTAGTTTATATTCTAGTTTGCCCTTATTCTGGTGTGTACCCCTCAATCCCAGTTATATAGCCTGTGATATTTTCCAAACCTTTCTTCCTTGGCAGACCCTGAGATCCATTTTTTATCTCTCCCACACATTAAGACTGCTGGAAGCTTTGCTCAGCCTAAAGTACTTTCTTTAAGTCCTGTCTGCTTAGTCACTCTGAATTCCAATTTTGGTTTCCCTGTCCCCATGAAACTGCCACAAGCTCTGCTCAGCTTTTTTTTTTTTTTTTTGTCAGCCAGTTTGTACTTTATTGACCCATGAAGCTCAGGCCTTGACCGCATACTTCCACAGTAGGTATAGCCACTCCTTCCATTGCTGCTTCTTGGTCATCAAGTTTTCTTCATGCTTGTTGAGCTGATAGCACATGTCCCATGTTTTCTTGGGCCGCAGATCCAAGGGTTTGTACTTCTTTCCCCTGTAGAATTTCCTGAGGTTCTCTTTCTGAGTCTGGTTAATGACGGTAAGAACACAGGCAATAGATTTGCAAACAACCTGGACCTTAGAAAGTTTGGAAGTCACACTGCCTGTCACTTTGGTGACGCACAGCTGAGGCAGCTCCACCTTCAGGTCATCCAGCTGTTTGAGCAGCTCCTCCTCCTTCTTGCTGCTAAGGTCTCCAGCCTTAATTTTGGCCATTGCTGACCAAGCCTCCACCTGCTTTCTGCTCGGCTTCTTAGCCTGTGCTGCTGATAAGCTGCAAGATGTGTTGGGTGAAAAGCAGTGTAAAATATCAGACTCACCTGAATATTGTTTTCCTTCTTACTGGAATCTTAGCCTCTCAAATTCTGGCTGATTTGATAATTTTTTAATGCCTTGAAAGAGATTTCTTTTTGTTTTGATATTTTATTTGGATTTCTTTTTTTTTTTTACTTGTTCTTGGTGAGAGGGTTCAGTCTGTCTGATTCTGACTGGTTTTTCACAGCCAAAATCAGAAGTTATTAGAATTTTTTAATCCGTCTTATAGTACAAGAATAAACCCAGCTGAATTATGATATATTATCATTTTAGTATACTGTTGGACTTGATTTGTTAGTATCTGCTTTAATAATAACTTAAATTTGCCCTGGCCAGTTTGGCTCAGCGGTTAGAGCGTCGGCCTGCGGTCCGGAGAGACCTGGGTTCGGTTCCCGCTAAGGGCACGTACTTCGGTTGCAGTTTGTCCCCGGCCCTGGTTGGTTGTGCGGGTGGCAGCCACTCAATGTGTCCCTTCACATCAATGTTTCTCTCTCTCTCTCTCCCTTCCTCTCTCTCCCTCCCACTCTATCTGTACAAAAAATGGAAAAATATCCTCGGGTGAGGATAAAAAATATATATATATATATATAATAATAACTTAAATTTTTTTTGCTAGTCCTATTTTAGTATTAAGGTTATCTAGCTTCATAAAATGAGTTTGGGATGTTTCTTGTATTCATTTTCTCTGTGTGTAACAACAAAATTATCTTGTACTTCTTTGTTTTGTAGAACTCTCCTTTTCTTCAATCCTCACTCGAGGATATTTTCCCATTGATTTTTAGATAGAGTAGGAGGGAGTGAGGAAGAGAGAGAAAGAAAAACATCGATGTGAGAAGGACACATCTATTGGTTGCCTCCCAAACAACCCCGGCAGGGGCTGGGGATCGAACCTGCATCTGAGGTACGTGCCCTTGACCAGGAATCAAACCTGCAACTCTTTGGGTCCGTGGGCTGACACTAACCACTGAACAAAACTGGCCAGGGTTATAACTCTCTTTTTCAAAATAACAATTATATGGTCCTTTTTCTCATTCCTAATCTTTTTTATTTGTACCTGTCTCATTTTTATCTTGGTCAGTCTGGCAGGGTTTCATAATTTCATCAATCCTATATTATATGTTGGTTTATTACATTATTAATAAAGTAATAAATAACCCTCTTTTTGGGTTAATGGTATTGTTCCTTCACTAATGTCTTAAACTGGATACTTAGATCATTTGTTTATCATCCAGTCCTTTTTAAAAATATAAGTTTTGAAGCCTGTGGATTTCCCTGTACTACATTGGCATATCTAACAATTAGGATATGTAATGTTTCCAACTCCCACTGTGACTTCTTTGATCAGTGGATTCTTTACAAGAGTCCTGCCCAGGGCCACCTGGTATGAACTACAAAGTGATCTGCAGATGGTTGCCACTTATCCTGGACTTGGAGATGCCTGAAAGAGAACCAAGGCCATCTGATGCTAGTTCTGAACCTGGGACCACTTAGTAAGAGGCACAGGGTATGCTGAGGCCAGATGCTGCTTGTTTGGGGTTTGAGAAATTTTAGGAAAGTCTGCAGCATGAGCCAAGACAGGCAGTTTGTATGGAAAAGCCATTGGAAGCAGCTTGGGTGGGCCGGGTCTCAAGGAATCACCAGGGCAAGGCAAACAGTGTTTGTCAAGTTGATGGACACTCAGATGTGGTACCAGTCTATCTGCAGGGGTGGCTCAGCAAAGGAACAGTGGCTTCTGCCAGCACTTCTTTCTGGGAGAAAGCTGCCCCTCCAGCCCTCTCCCTAAAACCAGAGCAGTCAGTTCCTCATATGTCCCTGGCACCTTTCAAGCTGCCGCCCCAGTGCTGAAGCTCAGAGCAAGTAAGTCTGCAGGCCCTTTAAGAGGAATGCCTGGGACTCTAGAAGACCTCTGTCTCATTCAACCTCAAGTCATGGGGACTTCTCTTCCCAGCACTGGAACCCTGGACTGGTGTGGGGCTAGGACTCCTCGCTCCTCAGGGGATTCTTCTGCAGCTGAGATAACCTTCCTAGTTTTTTACCACCACATATAGGTATGGGGCCCATTCAACATCTGCCCCTCCTGCCAGACTCCACCTGGCTTCAGGCAGCTCTAAATGATGTGTTCTATAGTTTAGTTGTAATTTGGAAGTGGTTGTGGGAGGAGGCAAATATAGTGTTTACCTACTCGGCCATCTTGACTGGAAGCCTCCACATTTCTCCGGATATAGAATTCTGGAGAATCTATGTTAATACATTTTTCTCGGTATCATAATCAGTTATCATCTGTTGTAGTTGAGAAGTTTGCTGTTTAATTCATTCCTTTGGTGGTAGTCTTTCCTTTCTCTTTTTCTTTTTTTAAATCCTCACTCAAGGATACTTTTTTATATTTCTTCAGACAGAGTGGGCAGGAGGGAGGGAGGGAGGAACATCAATGTGAGAGAGAGACATCGACTGGTTGCCTCCCGCACGACCCTGACCAGGGCTGGGGACAAACCACAACCAAGGTACGTGCCCTTGGGCAGAATCAAACCCACGACTCATCAGTCTGCAGGCCGATCCTCCAACCCCTGAGCCAAATCAGTCAGGGCTCCCTTTGGCTGCTTTTAAGAGTTTCTTTTTGTCTTTGGTTTTACTGTAAATAGGAGTGGATTTGCTTGGGATTCATTTGATGTCCTAACTCTGAGGACTAGTGTCAGCCATTTATGGAAATTTCTAAACCATGATCTCTTTGAATATTTTTCTTCTAGCCTCTTTTAGAATACTGATACGAGTCTCCCTCTCTCTTCCATGTCTCTCAGTCACTTTGTTTTGATATTTTTTAAATATATTTAAGTACTTCTTTTATTTCTTAAAATATAAGGTACTCAAGTCTAGTCTTATGGTTAGGAATTCTCAAGAGGACTTTTCCTTTTATTCCCACTCTACTTTAGACCAAACCAGGCCCAAAGCCCTACTACCTACGGTGGGGGGACTCATTTTATTCCCAGCAGCTTAGCTATTCATTTAAAAAGACATTTTGTTAATAAGCATTTTAAATGTTTTGTACTTCTATCTACCTTGGCCTTCCTAGTTTTCAGCAGAGTTTTTGTTCATGTGCTGCTTCCAGCACAGCCCTTGTTTCTGTGGTGACCTGATTTTCTCCTGCACTAGTTCCAGAGCTCATGTTTTATCTCCTTCCCTTGTCTTGCATCTGTTCAGAGCAGCTCCCTCCATCTCTGCTTCAAACTACTGTTTTCACATATTCACAGCTAAATGTCACGCTTTTCATCTATTATCTGGCAACAATTTTCTGGCAAATGTCCATTTGCCATTTTGCTGTTCCTGTAATACCTCTGTTTACCTCCTATGTTGGTTCCTTTTCAGATACTAATTTCTTCTTTTTTTTTTTTTTAATATTTTATTTATTTTTTTGTTACAGATATTTTACCTTTTTTACCCCATTGGCACCCCCCGCCCCGCCCCGTCCCCGGCTTAGTTGTTCGAGTCCATTGATCATGCATACATGCATATATCAGATACTAATTTCTTAATGAGCTCTTGTTATTAGATCATTGTGGGAGGAGCCAAGACCGTGTCCCTTCAGCCTTGTCTTTTCTCCAGGCATCTAGAGGGCTGCTTACATGCAAAGCCTCCCCCCCCTACTCCTACCCTGGCTCCTTGGTGCTGAACCAGGTTCAGGAAAGCCCTGTTATAGTCCATCCCCTTTATTTCAAGTAAGAGATTATTGGCCTCTCCCCTCAAGGTGTGCTACTTTGGAGAACTCAAAACTATTACCTTTATCTAAGACCTGCAACCCCAAGACCCCCTCCTTATGTGGCTACCACTGCACTCCAGGCTCTGTCAGAAACAATGTCCATTTCTTGTTTGCTTTTCGGGGATTTCTTTATGCTACCACTTTAAAACTGAAGTTACACTAAAAAAATTCCTGCTAACTCTTCCGTTGGAGTCCATTTGTTTGTATCTTGTTTAAGTCTTTCACATTTATGTTCATAATAAAAGAGATCTATTCTTGGCATGCCCTCTCTGCTGTCAGGGCTCATGAAATTGGTTGTATCATTTTCTATCTTTATTTACTCTTTGGAAGAGTTTGAATGTAAAACAGGGATTATCTGTTCCTTGAAGGTTTTTTAAAACCTCATCTGTAAAACTACATAGGCCTGGTTCCTTTTCCTGGGAAGATTTTTAACTTCTATTTCAGTTTTTATTTTATCTTTTCAGTCCTCACCCAAGGATAATTTTCTATTTATCTTCAGATAGAGAGGGAGGGGGAAAGAGAAATACTGACATGAGAGGGACACATCGACTGGTTGCCTCCCTATTGAACCTGCGACTCTCTGGTTGACGGGCCGACGCTCTAACCACTGAGAAAACTGGCCAGGGCTCTACTTCAGTTTTTGAAAACAGTGATCTGCCCTGGCTGGTTTGGCCTAGCGGTTAGAGCGTCGGCCTGCAAACCCCCGAGTCGCAGGTTTGGTTGCGGTTCATCCCCGGCCCTAGTTGGGTCATGCGGGAGGCAACCAGTCAATGTGGCTCTATCCATCTGATGTTTCTCTCTATCCCTCCCACTCTATCTGATGATAGAAAAATATCCTCGGGTGAGGAAAGAAAAAACGAACATTGATCTAATCAGATACTCTATTTCTTCTTGAGTCTATGATAATTTACATTTTTCTGGAAGAATTTTCCATTGAAACTATTTTCGAATTTATTGCCATAAAATGTCCTAAGGAACTAGGGCATAGCGTTCATAGCGTTCACTTTATATGTATTGTTTGCATTTTTTCACAAAGAGAAGGGATTAATATATAAAATGAAGACTAACTGCCATCTCCCAATAATGACTGGTATCCTGAGGTGGGGTGGGGAGATGGAAGCCTCGACCCTGCCTTCCACTCAACAAACCT